AGAACAACAGAAGAGATAACGAAATTGACTAGCAAACCAATCAAATGTTCTACGTTTCAAATTCAAATGCCAGGACAAAAGCTGTGTGGACAACTGTCGCTTTGGGTTTTATATCGGTTGAGTTTGGGAGAAAAGTTTGAAGAAATTATAATAAATTTAACTCAATAAAAATGGCAAACAAGTTTGGATTAGGGTCTTTACCTCTAGAATCTAAAAATCCCATGAGTTCTACGGCGTTTATAAACAAAGCGAAACCTTCTTTCGTGGATCAAATCGGAGACACCTTGCAAGGAGATATCGATATGAACAATTTCAAAATAACTAATTTAAAGTTTCCAGGAAACGATAACGATTCCGTGAACAAGAAATATTTACTGGATCAAATAAACGCAATTCAAATAGATAAGGACCATGTTGAAAATAGACTAAATGACTTGAAAAGATTCATCAGACGAAATATTAAAAATCTTGTGGACGAACCCAAACTACAACAAGAGTTAACGAGTTTGAAACGTCTTATTCAAGTGGATAAAACAAGTCAGTTACAAAATTTAATATCTAAATTAGACGATAAGATTACGAAGGTAAAAATAGACGTCCAACGTTTAATAGACAACCCAAATGTAAACGAGGGTAGATTGAAACGAAAACTAACCGCTTTGGAAAGAAAACTTGGCGAATTGCTAGCAGAACTAGACAAGACCGCGGACAAAACCGAGTTACAAAATTCGATATCCAATTTGAACGAAAAGATCGCGAAGCAAAAATCAGATGTTCAAGATATAATTAACACCCTTCCCATTGACAAAGATACGTTGAAACGACAATTGACTGCTTTGGATACTAAAATCACGGACGAATTAGAAAAAGAAGTGGGTGTGATTAAAAACTTTCTTCAAAATAAATTTCGAGATGATATGAAAAATTATATTAAAGAACAGGTCAATCTTTTGGTATCTAGAATTCATGACGATTTTTTGAGACAAGAGAAAAAGTTGAGCAAATTAGAAGCTATTGTCACGGACAAATCGTATTATTTCAATCTTCCATTCGAAAGTGACACTGTCTTCAATAGAAAAGACCAAATTTATAAATCAAACAAATACGGATTCAAAGCA